AATGCTGCACAGCTGCCAGTATTCAAATTACACTGCCAAAAGAGGAACGAAAACACGGCTATGTGGCTTTGCAGAGCACTGGGGGGACTCTGCACCACTAATGACATTTCTCACAAACATCACTGCAAAGGAGTCAATGAGGGATTCATCTGAAGAGCTTCTGAGGGCTTGGCTTTGTGGGAGACTTCGTAGTTCAAGTATATCGAAGTGATTTTATTATTAATGACACTTAACAACAAACTTTTGTATTAATAGTTAAACACTCAAACACTATGCTAATCTGCCTTATCATTAGAGTTGTTTTGATCAGATACTATTGATAAGTACAGTTGAAAACATTTTGGCATAAAATGGTATGCTCACGTTACCCTGTATAACCTTGAGTTTTCAAATAAATCGTTTTTTTCGCCTTTTATTCAAAGTGAATTCCGTTTTTGGATCCTTTGTTTAATGTTGAGATGTAGGAGGAAAACAAAATGTTATTCAGGTTCCAAAAAGATAATTTGTAGGTATTCCTTTAAGTGGCAAATGTGTGAATTGTGCTGCTGTTGAAAATGCTGTTATCCCTAACTTTATCAACAGTATATCTCAAAGGAAGAAAATGGCCGGACAAGTTGCCCATAAAACATTGGGGGTTAAGAAATGTACTGGTGCGGACCAAGAAATAGTCCAGTGTATACCCATCAGCAAAATGTCAACATTTCCTCTTCTGTTTTGTACGGATCAAACTTAAAATGTTAAAAAGTGAGCCCATCTGCGTAACCTTTGGACACAGTCATGCTTTGAATAGATAGTTCACGGCTTTCACTCAAAAATATTCGTCATTGTTTTTGTATTTTTGTCTTGCTTGACCACATCAATCAAAACTGAATGTTAATATTCCAGGACTGCGCAGGTCACTGATCAGATAGTAGGCTAAGTGGTTGGGACCCCCCTGGCCTGAGTTGGGACAAGGGGTCAAGACCCCACGTCAGCAAGACTTTGCACTGCTGAAGTCAATGAATACCTCCAGGGCTGCTGGACTGCAGCTGAGCCAGTGCTCCGACTTTTTACTGCAGAAAGAAAACCCCAAGAGAGAGGGGAGAAGATGTTGTTCTTTAATGTTTCTACATTTAAGGCCAGGTTGTACAAATACTTTGTGATTGCATCGCTGTTTTAGGGAAATCCCAGTACTGAAAGGAGCTCCTAGACTTGCATAGCAAAGTGTATATAAGGAAGATATATTGTTGCTCATCATGTCCTTAGATATTCCATCACTAAATAAGTTACTAATTTCAAGTGTAAACTGAAAAAAACACGTTCAACTTAATATGCATTAGCCTAAGGTTTTTTGCCCTGACTGAGTGCCTTCGCAATTGTTATGTATTTGTCTAAAACCAGTGAAACCTACCAACCAGTGAGACATATCAGACGAGCTACATTTAAAGTGTGACTCAACACAATAAAGGCATCAAACTCAAAGAGAAATGTTCTTTCCGGTAGTTTTCTTCAAATGAACTTATAAAGTCTTGATTATTTTTTTTTACGGGAAACTTTTATAAGTCTGCTTCCATCTATCTTTCTTTCACATACTCACAGATCCTGAATAATTTATCATAAAGAGAGAAAAACTTAAGAAGAACATAGCGGTAGAAGAGAAGGGGGGGGTGTTGTCGCTTTAAGCAGTAACGAAACCTTACATTTAAGATGTTCTGTTAGTTCTGCTTCACAACTCTGGAACAAAATAGTAAGGAGTCCACCCTCAGAACACAACACAGCAATCAAAAACACTGCTGCAATTTTTGAGTCAAACAAGTTAATATGGAAGCATCAGAGGCTTGGAAAAAGACCCCTAATTTTGGATGCAGTTCAGTTTCACACATCATGTTTTTGTGCATTCAGACTGAGTGTGTGTGCATCTAAATTAGCGATCAAAGTGTCAGTTGTCTGTGTCGGACCCCTTAATGTTAATGGGAACCTTGGAGAGATATATTTGTTGTAGATTCTGTGTTTCTCTCCGAATGTACTTTCTCTTTTATATTAAGTGTGAAGACCCCAAGAGAAACAGCAACAATAGTTTGTGATTGAATACATTTGAGATGAATGTAAACCATTTGCATTCTTCCAATTGTGGTTGTATCTTTGAACTGTCCCTTTCTATTATCTGTTAGGGTTTATTGTTGCTTTTTACTGCAAGTGTGCGTAGGTTTATTGTTCTCCTTATCCAGGAAGCTTTGATATTCTTTTGTTTCTGTTTGAACTCAGATGACTTGTGTTTAGTATTTTTAAAGAACACCTGAACACAGTGACACCCCTGTATATTATTTAGCAGTGTTCAGCATGTCGCTGAATTTGTTGGCAGCTTTTACAGCTTTTGAGCTACAATGTCAGGGTTTAAATTAGTTGCTGGCTCCACAAAAAAGTTTGATGTAATGGGTTCAGGAGTCTGAAAAGGTGTTGTGGTGGAGTAGACAGGGCAGATGTAATTCATCGCTAGCACACATAAAAGAAACAAATGAACCTCTTGTCTCTTTGGATGCATGTACATTCGCACCAGTACACATGCGTTTTGTTAAATTAGTTTTGTTTGATAGAACGTTTAATGTATATTATTATTATTATTATTATTATTATTATTACAATGTGTCATTTGTTTTTAATGTTGGTTACTACAACCTCCTCCACAAAGAAGGTTTTGTTCATGGCTTAAGTTAATGTTGCAATGCCTGACAGAACTCAAAGTGATGGTAATAAGTACGTTTGGTAGTTTGAAGTTACTAAATTAGCTTTGTACTACATACAGATCATCATACTTTAAAAAAAATGTACCACCAACTATGAACTACTCTTTTGGAGCTTCTTCTCAGGAAGTGCTGCTGCTACTACTGCATAATCCAACTATTCTGTGTAAACATTAAAAAACAATTTATCACCATTATTATAATTGTCCTCACATAAGAATATTAACAATCCAAGTTATTTGCAAACTTCAAAAAGACCTTGAGACAATGAAACCCCCTTAATTGATTGCACATGGTATAGTCCAAATTCCCTCTACTAAAAGGCCCATTGGAAGGTCCCACTTCCTGTTTGCAGTTTGGACAGGAGCTAATGCAACACATCTTGGCAATTGAACTTGCCTTAACCTTATCAATTCATTTAAAGTCATTTAGTTATTATTTAATTAACAATTTCAATGACCAAGGAATGCATACTGACATTTCCAGAATTGTCTTTTGTTAAAAGGTAAGCATTCTTTACCCCACATGCTTGCTACGCTAACCTAAATCAGTCAACATAACTTGATTACTAAACTAGAATTAGCTAAGATCATGCTTGAAAGGTGGAATAAATAATAGAATGTATTCTGAAATCTTGACTTACTTTTGTAAACCACATTATTAATGTTCTTTCAGATTCATAGTCAATTTGACTTCCTGGCTTTCTTTACAAGTCTTTGACCTCTCCCATTTTCTCATCCTGCCCGATGATACGCTGGGTCAAATTAAATTCCCTGTGCAGGGATGGCAAATTCAAGGATGAGGAGGCAAATATCAGCCTTCACTGGATCTAAAGCATTCACTTAATGGGATTTTTCCAGCGTTGTCAATACAGAAGGGACGCCTTGCTATCGCTCTGTGTCACCACCTTATTGGCTGCCAGATCTTGGGGAGTGAAGAGGAGGCTTTAGCTGTTTCGAGACAGATGAGAGGAAGAGAGAAACCAGACGAAGAAAGATCTTAGTGGGGGGAAAGGCAACAGAGAAAAGAGCATCACTTCAACCATCAGTCACAACTTGCATGAAGCAAAACCAGTCAATGTCAGCTGGACTTCTTTGATTGGCAGCAACCTTTGTGGTCTCAAATGGAAAAGGAATTGCATATAAACCTTTTATAAAGGGCTTTTCATTTTGTTTGACCATATTTCTTGTGAATTTGTACAACATTTACAGAAGTCTTGATACCACTTTTTCCATTTCCAATGCTGTCTTTTTTTTTTTTTCCTATCTTAAACAACCAAGCTGTTAATAAAGCATATGTATTGATGAACTTCGCCTAATAACCTATATAACCTAGCCATCTAAAAAAAACATTATGCTTAACCTCAAGCAAATATTCTAATATCATAAAGGGAGATAACATTAGCTCACACCATAATGCTATTTTTTTAACTTTTTCTCACAGAACTTATAGCAGCATTTTTGATTTGTCAGCATAAAACTTAAATGCAACTTTGTGCAAAAGTTTATCTCTGAGTATTCCAAATAGCAAAATCATTATAACACCAGGGAAAAGTACCAGATATAAGTCGACTCTCAGTGTAGTATACCTCAATGACAGTTTGAGAGATTGGTTGAGGCTAATGGATCGTAACAGAACAAACTTTTCTTCCCCCTAATGAAATTCAGATCAAATTAATTGTAACTAGATGTCTGTGTCTTGATCTTGATTGTCTGTGTTGTTGGTGAAACTGTTACGCTCCATCAGCAACACTCTGCGCTTTGCAATTAGAGACTCAAATGTCCCTCACCATGTGCAGCTCTTAAGCATTTTGAGAACAAGCACTAGGTATAAAAAGAAACAAATAGAGGTAGGGACCTCCTTGTTGCTTGGTGGTCTAAAATGCATAACATTTAATCACAAAGTACTACATGAATGTTCCTGTTGCTCTCTTTCCTGTCTTTTCTGTACACACTCGCACACAAAAACCTTAGGTACTGTCATTTATTTTTATAGATACAGAATGACATTGGCTTACAAATGATAATAATTTCTATCATCCGAATGTACAATTGCTTCTTTGTTCAAGCTCACACACAACCTTGATGTACATAGACACATCCGCAGACAGTAAAAATGAACAGTATCCGCAGACAGTAAAAATGAACAGTAAAAAATGAACAGTATCCGCAGACAGTAAAAATGAACAGGTGTCAGACCTTCTCAGCAGCTTGGGATACTTGGAGTCCTTGACATGCCTGGGATTACTCTTGAACTCTGTGTCTGCTCTTCCCCTTCCAGGACTGGCTGAGTAAGTTTGGCTACCTCCCGCCCCCTGACCCAGTGACCGGTCAGCTTCAGACCAAGGAGGCCCTAACCAATGCCATCAAAGCCATGCAGAAGTACGGAGGGCTGAAGGAGACCGGAGTCTTAGGTATGTGGACGTGTTTTTATGGGGCAATCACATGCTAATATGGTTGGACGAAGGAAATGTTCATAGATGAGTGAATGAAAGACTGTAACCCAATCAGAACACTACCAACCATAACTTCCTCTCCTCTTTAGACCAAGCCACGATGGGCCTAATGACAACACCCAGATGTTCCCTGCCAGATGTTTCTGACACCGAGTTGACAGTGGGCCGCAGGAAACGAAGCCTGGCAACTCAGAAAAAATGGGATAAGAGGCATCTATCCTGGAGGTAGGATCAATGAAATGTACAGTAAAGGCCAATACAGGGGTGAACGTTGGGACTTTAAATCGTAACAACCATTACTCTAACGTATCGTCCACGCGGTTCCGTCGCTTTGAAGCTTGCCGGTGGGCGTGTCTGGCGCATGACCAACAACCAATCACATTAATCTCCCGCCCCGGACACACAAGCACGCGGTTTGATTGGCTAGTGCTTGTACTGGCGTATGATTTGATTGGCTGGCGCTTCCGTCGACGGTTGAAAAAGTTTTTCTCAACTTTCAGCGCGAGCAACGGAGGCAAAGCGTGACGTCACCCCATTCAAAGTAAATGGGAAGCATCTCCGTTGAAGCATGCGACAGAACCATGTGGACGATATGATAACCTCCATTTGTACTCTTAGATGCCAATTGTAAAATATGTTTTATAAAACTTTTCATCCAAAATTTGCGTGAATAAAAAGCACATTTCAATTTGAGTCATGTAAATACAACATATTTAAAGACGTCATTTTATTCTATTACATTTGGACAGTTTGATGTGTCATCAGATTTACTTATCCAAAGCTAACAGGGAAGGGAATAATGGGGAAAATGTTGTATGCTTTTATTGCAAATGGTCTCAATCTGTAGATATGAACTTTTTTATGTAACTGCACAATTGTATCATTGATAGCAAGCACATTTTACATTTCAAAAACACTCGTCTAATAAACATCATATTGCTGTACTTTGCAGATGGATAAAAAAACTAGCTGAAAAATGTTTCAGTAGGTTACACTATTTATCAGTAGTATCTAGGTTATCATATACGCCACTGAAAAAGGATCATGGTCATATTATTTGGGGAATCAAAATGCATTATTTTTGCGCTTTGCCTGTTAACCAAAATGTATTTTTTTGCATCAGATCTGTTTACCTGAGCCTAATGCAGTTCTATCCAGATCCAGTCTAGTACTCCACATCAGTGCAGTCAGCAATAAATCCCATCACTCCCCGCCCCCATCTGTGCATCCTTTGATAGATTAGATTAGAGGACTCTTCCTCAAACTGGAAATCTTTTGCTCTCCAGATCAATTCTGGCTCAAAGGAAAGGCATTTTGTAAAAGTGGAAAGCTGATTAGAGGGTCCTTTTTAATAAACAACACACACGTCCGTCCTCTCAGATGCTGAACAAAGACTCAGATGCCTAATTAAACTAGAAAAATACAATGTTGTTTCAAGTTTTTGAAAATTGCCTCATTATTGCAACAAGATACAAATTGTTCAGATTTCTATATACTTTTATTAGATACATTCTACGTATATATATATATATGGGATATATATGTATATATATATATGTTTCCAGAGTCATTACAAAAATGCACTCCTGTAATGTAATCCCATTTCTCTGTTGTTCTGTTGATGTGCAGAGCCTTCCACCCTTTGTAAATTGCAGCTAAATGGTCTTCTACTTTTCACGTCATCACCTGCCAAAAAGCTCTGCAAGAAGTGGTGCATTTATCCAACAAATGCCAAAGAGAAGAATATTTTAAATGAGCTCTAGTAACGACGAGACGCCGTTACTAGAGCTCTCGTTAACATGTTTATATAATCATTGTACTGTAGGGTATATTGACAACAACTCCCCTGTGCACGGAGATAATGTCACTCAGCACTTTAGTAGTGAACAGTTTGCACTTTATTAGCGTGATTGCACAAGTTTGGCATTGCACATGTGTACATAGTTTATACTATTTATCGATGTAGGATTTATTAAATGATTAAATTGCATTAATTGTATAAGTGTTCACCCCCGTCTTGTCTGTTGCTTCCGGTCTCTGTGTTCCCTCCTGCTGATTACCCGATTGTGTTCACCTGGTGCCCTGTGTTTGCTCCTCCCCCCTCACCTTTGTCTTGTGTGTTTGATTAGTCCTGGGTGTATTTAGGTGCTGTTTTCTGTTGGTCAGAGCTGTGTGGTATACTGTGTGGGTGGTGGAGGGCCGCCATGTTGTCACAGTGGATGGAAAAATAAAAAACACCAACCTGCCTGCTTCTCCTATTTTGCCTCCATGGTCGCTCGGGCATTCTCACAAGCTGAAAATTACAGTCAACAGCAGAGAAGTGGATAACGCTGCAGTATATGCTTTGAGATTCCTATAGATGAGAAAACTCAGTTTGAAAAGGCCATGTCTGTTTAGCTCAACTTCCACAGGTAATGAAATAAATAGTCATATGCATAGCAAACAGAGGAGAAAGAGAGAGGGATGTTTTGTATTTTCTGCGATGGAGTTATAAGGATTTTTGGCAACCTGCAGAATCGTAGCGAAGTGATAGACCGCAGAGAGTGAGGTAGTGAAACATGGCTGGTTTGTGCTGATTCACACCAGCCATCACACAGATTCAAAATGAGCTGCCACAAGCTAGTGTGTGTGTGTGTGTTTGCAAAATATAAATATGCACATCATTTTGAAAATCAGTAGAGCCAACGCACACATGCATACAATATATATGCACATACACACAGGCATGCATACATTGTTCCCCTCCTGGTGGGCTAAAACTTGTTTTCTCTTCCTTGTACTGCTGCCAATCATCCACCGTGCTCCCGTCAGCTCACCGCACTCTGAAATAAGACCGGTCTGTCCAGCGGAGCACCTTTTGTATTCACAGCAGTCAGATTTGTAGAACAGATGTGGATTCTGTGCTGGCTTCAGATCCAGAGAGATTTCCTGTAAAGCGCCACAACAAGGCATTGATATTCTGCATAGATCGACCGCCTCTCTCTGGTCGTGCTATCTGCTTCTGTAATTCTTCAGCTGAATGTTCGAGCACTTGTGCACAACAACTCTCCCACTGCTTGGTTTGGAACCTTATTTTCATCATCTAATACTTCATGGTATCTTTGCTTTATTAGATTATACGGAAACAGGGCTGAGAGAATAGAGATAATGTGTGTTACAGCTAATGAGTCAGATGCAATTTGACAGCCATTTAAATATAACAGTCCTGATCCACCTCATCAGTTGGATTAAAGAAAAGTACAAGTATTTATACCACTGCCTGCAACAAAGAGTACACATTGCATCAGTATTTACATTTTTATCAATTCACTGCCCAGCAATAAATTAAATGGTTTATGGACGCTGCATTATTCAAATGTAGGCTGTTAATTTAAGACACATAACAAAAACGTATTAATCAAACTCAAAACACAATTGCTGTAGTCCCCAATGTCTCAATGTTTCTTTTTCACAAAGGCTGGAAGTTGGCACAAAATACAAAATATTACTCTATATCTATTTTGGTTTTGACAGCACTCTTCGAGCAGCGCTACACCTCCCCAATTCTAAATGAGTTTGGTTTGATATAGGAGGTTTAAAAGAGTTTGTTCATAAGTGAGAGTATGATTAGTGAATGTATTTCAAAATGACAATAATAAGAGTCATGATTACATCCTAATCGTTTATCACATTGATTGTTAAATAAGTTAACATTAAAATGATTGTAGTTCAGTCAGCTTTCTCTTCTCCCATAGTAATGCATGTTTGTTTTCAGTCTGCGCACAGCAAGCCACACGTATCTTAATGAAATGCTGTTTGTTTCACAAGAAAAGAGAGGTATGTGCAGCGGGAATAGTTTTATTCAACTGTGCTATGGATTTGAATTTGGTATTCACAGGAAAAGAGACTTTTAGTTTGTGAAACAAAGTGTGACAGTTATGAGAGTCCCTGATTTAAGCAATGGTTTACATCATTAAGTATAGATTGATTTATTTCAATATTAAATGAAGTTACAGTAAAGGAAAAACTTGATCTTTCATTCTCACCTCAGCTTGAGTGTCAGTTATTTTATACCTGTGGAAAAAAACAATTGGCTTAGCAGCCATTTATTTGAAGGACTCTGATCCAAGTAATGTTTTTTCTTCCGCTAAAGAAATATAAGTAAATTATTTTTGTGATGATGTCTATGTGCTAGCTCTGAGCCCTTCATCCCCAATTTAACTCCTGCTTACCTTTTTTTCCCTTTCCCTTACACAAAAGCCAATACAGAACGCTGCACTCAGCCAAGTATGTTACGGCCCAGTTGTGTAACAGCCCACTGTTAGCTCATTATCTCATATTGTTAGCCCATTATCACAGCAGACAGCCTGGCAGTCATTAGCAGCCCAACTGATAACTCAAACGGATAGGTGTAGCGAGCAGAGTGGAGGAGAGACAAAGATGGGGATGGGGATAACAAGGGCGAAAGAAACACGAGATACAAACATGAAGAGGAAGATAGCATCTTTTCTTTCTGCATCTGTTTAGTCTGACACAGTGGGTGGGTCTCACTGACTTAATGCTGAATTGAAAAATCACTACCTCTCATCTCTCTGTTTAAACTTGTTATATTTATAATGAAGTCAACGAGGTGTGTACAAGTACAAGCGAAGTAGGAACTTGAACACACTCTTAATTACCATGAAAATCCATCATAGAATGCAGCATCATGCTTTATACAGTTTGTTGGGTGTATTAACATACCCTGGAGCTAAAATACATTGTTTGTGAGACCTGCGTGGTGCCAAGCAGCGAACCCTCAGTAAGGGTTATTTAAAAAACAACACAGCCATATTCGAAGTCAAAAGGCGATCAGTAATGAGAATTTTAAGTGTAGCAGCAGCAGGGATCCATCAAGTGCTAATTAAAACCATAGCTCATAGTTGTTAGTGAGTGGTAAGAAACGCCACAGTTCTATAGAGAGGCACTAGTATATAGTCCTATAGCTCTGGGACTATAGTAAGTCATAATATAAAGCACTAATAGCCGAGCGGCGGGCATACCACTCAGTGTCAAATTATTTTCCATTGTCTTGCTCCTTCGCCACCTGTGAAATACTTAAAAGCTCCTGCTGAGCGTACTGTGACCAATGCATTCATTATAACTCTAACTTTTATCATTCCGTTGAATAATTGCATTTCCATATAATCTGGCATTGTGGTCCGCATGGGGAGATCTTGAGAACTTTTACAGGACAAAAATGAAGGCAAA